GACCAATTTTGAAATTCCGGCACAGCAGCTCCGCCATGCTCCGGCGACAGCACTGCCGCCCACAGCGGTGATCCGCCTCGGGTTGGCCATTTCTGGCCATTTTCGGTCGAATTCGGCCAAACTCGCATCGATTCCTACGATAAAACAATCCTAGGGCCCTCAGTGGGCCAAAAAATCACAAAAAACCGAGACTTACCGGCGGTGGAGCTCTCGGGTGCGACGACTTCTCCAGCGCGAGTCGCAATTTGATATTTTGCTCCAGTCAACCTATAGAAAAAAAGACGATGATTACAGTGGTGTAAAAATTGCATCGAACAGGAACCGGGAAGGGCCTCATCGGAGGCAAAAATCGAGGGAAGCCGTAGCAATGCTGCTGGACTTCGGCGATATTTTTCGACTGATTGGCCAATGGTTTGGCTCCGATTTAGCCATAAACGGATTCAGCATCGAAAAACAAGCCAAGGAGAGAAAATTTATCTCGTTTGGCGGTCGAAAAATCCTTCAGTGCGGCGGCGGGTGGCGGCGGCCGGCTCCTCCGGTGACTGGGTCTTCTTCTACGGCGAGAGTATTGGCGGCTAGGGTTTGGGGTTGGGTGTGGGTGAGGTTATTTATAACCTTCCTCTTTTAATCTCAGCTATCCATCACGATTTAATTTGAGCTGTCCGATCATGATTAAAATGGAAATAAATCTGGACCGTCCATCGCGATGCGATCTAGGCCGTCCGTGCGTGATTCAATCTGGATCGTCCGCACGCGTGAGATCTGGGCTGTCCGCACGCGTGAGATCTGGACCGTTCGATCGCGTGCACGCAGATCGCCCACGTGGCTCCGTCCCGCGTCAGCGTCCTTGCTACGCGGCATGTCCTGGTTGGCTGGGGATGCTGACTAGGCTGCTGACGTGGCTGCTGATGTGGCACAACTTTTTTAAATTACGTTTTGACCCCCCGATTTTCAATTTTCTTTTCAAAAACACCATCAGAATTTAAATTTTCACCATTTTTTTCCCAAAATCATTTTCAATTAATTCCTTTAAAATAATTTTACTCATTATTATTATTATTATTATTTTTATCTAAATTAAATAAAATTAAATTAAATTACAACCTTATAAATTAATTAATAAATCAAATCAAATCAAATAAAATTCTAATAAAAAAAAAAAATAATAAAAGTTACTTTTTTTTTTTTTTTTTTGGGTTGTTACACAAGAGGTAAAGTTTTATTGTTAAATATTTTATTTATAAACCATTGACAATAAACTTAAAATGGTTGAATTTGTTTCCGTACAGATGCCACGTTAAGAAAAAAAAAATTCCTACATCATTCTTAGAATACTACGTCAAGCTATATGATCACGGATGTGGTGTTCATTCAACAAAAAAGGTATATAGTTTTCTAGAAAGATTTTGGAAGTATAGAAATTACTTTAAAACAAAAAATACTATAAAAACTTTTTAAAAAATAAAAATAGTATGAGGGTGTATTAATTATTGTAAAGACTGAAACTAAAAAACAGTGAATTGAATATTTATATTTTTACAAAAATTTTGTATTCTTAAATTTTACTCTCAAGAATATTAAATGTAACAAACATGAAATAATTAAAGAAATTATTTAAATTAAGAAAATTATATTATAAGGATAAAATTGAAAACACTCTAAATAAATTACGAGAAATGGTAAACTAAAAAAGAGCAAGATGAAAAGAATATCCAATTTGCAGTATAAATCATAAATTTCGTAAGTTGTGACACCTCTCAGCAGCTGAAGTGTTATAGGGGACCAAACGATGAATCCAAGCAA